CAACCACTCCAGTAACACTCAGTTTGTTTCCTGAGATTAAGAATTCCTCATATCAGTGAGGTCATGTGATACATGTCTTTCTCTGATTGACTTATTTCACTCAGCATAACACCCTCCAGTTCCATCCACGTCGTTGCAAATGGCAAGATCTCATTCCTTTTGATGGCTGCATAATATTCCATTGTGTATATATACCACATCTTCTTTATCCATTCATCTGTCGATGGGCATCTTGGCTCTTTCCACAGTTTGGCTAACAAATAAGGCTGTTTTATCCTCAAAGTAAGTAAAACGCTTTTCAAGATGAATGCCTCAAACTTGTTGAATATTTTTATTTGAATATAAAAGAAGGATCTTTTGCTTCCCTACTCACTTGCTCTGAAATTTGCTCATTTATATCAATAAAGAATTCAATGCATGCAGAATTGATCTATTAGCCATTTTCAAGTTGAAGCTAGGTTTTATGGACTGCTAAGACTTTTCTGTTCAATGGGATGACAAATGTTTTAGTACTTTTGGACAGAAAGAGGAAATGCAATGTTCTTGTCATTGAATCAGTCATTCACTGATTCATCTGGGAATATAACTCTCCATTAAGTAATATGTACCAGAACAGGTCCAAAGAAAGAATGGTTGTCACACATGCTGATAATAATAATTCTAGCTTTTGAGTTGTCATACCCTACTAAGTGCCAAGTAATGAGCGAGGTGCTTTTGTTTATGGCTTCATGAATTTTCACCCTGAGGACTCTCAAAAGTGTTAGGTATTACTCTCATCACTCTGGAGTAAAAATGGCAGGGATTTTTCTGACAACACTCCAAGAAGAGGTTTCACTCATCCAATTGTTCATCACGGCCTAATGTCCAACTTTCTTTCTAGTAGTCTGAGTGTTTACAGCACCAAGAAGTTTATACTTAAAACATTTCAAACCCACCAGTTCACTGTAATGGCAGGAATACATTGCTCTCAGTGAGTAAAGACTGCCATCTTGTGGAAATTGCAAATACAGCAAAAACAATCATTCCATGGAACTAAAAATCTGCACATATTAAGAACTGTGCAACTAGATTCTTGCAATGTTATACACACACACACACACACACACACACACACACACACACACACACACATCAATGCTGCTCACAGTTAAATACAAAAATTTCCTTTAGGTATGATTCAAGTTTCATTTAAAGATGCCAGTGTTTTTGAACATTTGAATATATATATATATATACATATATATATATATATCCTCATTTATTATATAAGGGCTCATCCAATTTGCCTTTAAGGCAGTGCATAAGATTTTGCTAAGCTTTCTTTATCTAATACTTAAATAAGTTTTTGTTAAATAATAAAAAGGAGGGTGTAGTGACACTTTTCTAATGGAATTTCCAGGAGCATTAGATTCTGCCGCAAAAATTTATGGCAGAACTCTGAGCTTAGAAAATACTTTCATACCCTTCCAACACTTCTATCCCACCCACCCTGTATTTCTAGAATCTGTTGTGGGCTACTCACAGCTTGACTGGGGGGATCTTACAATCTAGCTGTTGTCTGTCCCTAAAAATGGGGTGTTTGTGCAATGCCTCAGTTATCTGTGCTTCCTGAGATCGACTATACATAAAGGCATCTTTGTGGTGTGAAGGCAAATAGAGAAGTCTGCTCACTTTTTCCCCATAGTAACTCCTACCCCCCAGCTTGCTGAACCCAAAAGTTCTACAATTAAACAAATTCTTTGGATTTAAGGCCCTTTACTCCTATTAGCATCAAAATGGGTGTCATAAAGTATGTGTGTATACATCAATGATCATTTTTGAAACCAAATCATTCTTCAGGTGTAGAAATGATAAGGACACGCTGTGATACCAGATACCACTGAGGAGAAAGAGTAGACAATCATTGGTTCCTGAATGAACACGGAAATGAATGAAAGAATAAACTAACATGAACTGAGGGCATTAAAAAGAAACAGTATCACAGTGTTGCTTAGGCCATTTTGGCTGAATGTGCAGTTGTGGTTTAACATAAATTTTTTCCCCAAAAAAATACCTGGTATGAGACCACTCTTTAAATACTTATTGAATGGATAAATGAATAAGAAGAAATGGAATAGGTTAGAAAATCACATCAGTGAAAAGAAAAAGTAGAATCTGAGGGCAGCGTCCATTACCAAAAACCATGTTGAGCATATTCAATCAATAACTACTTGTCTGCTCTGTGTTAGGCAGTATGGAAGATGGTGAGGACACATTCCAGAAAGGGGAACAGACATCAGTCAAGGAACCACAAATTATTTTTTTAAAGATTTTATTTATTTATTTGACAGAGAGAGACACAGCAAGAGAGGGAACACAAGCAGGGGGCAGTGGGAGAGGGAGAAGCAGGCTTCCTGTGGAGCAGGGAGCCCAATGCGGGGCTCCATCCCAGAACCCTGGGATCATGACCTGAGCCGAAGGCAGACGCTTAATCGACTGAGCCACCTGGGCACCCCAAGAATATTATTTTTTAGAGATGACTAAATTTTCCCTTCAAGGTATTCAAAGGTGTTCTGATTACCCAGTGCCTTTACGTAGGCAAATAGCTAATGGGTTTGCCAACATGATTTGCATATATTTGCAGATAGGCCAAGCAAACAACTTTGATGCTGCGATTGAAGATTACAGATGTGTGTAATACCTAACACAGTGCTGCTGATTTCCACGAGTAGTTGTTCCTTTGGATGGAGGCACTATTTATTTCTCAATGTATGTGTGCATGTATGTGTATATGTATGTATGTATGTATTTAGTGAGCTCTATGCCCAGTGTGGGGCTCGAACTCACGACCCTGAGATCAAGAATCGCATGCTCTACTGACTGAGCCAGCCAGGCGCCCCATAGAGGCATTATTTCTCAAGTGTATTCCTCAAAACTCTAGCTCCACAAATTATTACTATGTATTATCAGGGAGAAAAAAAAATGAGGAAAAAAGAAGGAAAGTTAAATACCTTTGGGAAATGCCAAATTAAAATCATACAAGTTTTCTTTTCTACAGGTCTTCTTAGAGCCTTTAATACACTGACTTCTTTGTAAATTTCCTAGAGGCTGTTTCTTAAAGTTAATGACCACAGGACCCTTTTCTTGCAGAAGCTCCTCTAGGTACTAAGGTTCCATGGAACACACTTTTAGAAATTCTGGAAATACAAGTATCTTTGTCTGAGAAGAGGCAAGAATAAGGGTGAAATGTAATCCATCGATATTCATAATCACCTTGGTAAATTCAATTAATCAAAGTAATTGCACTTCTTGAGCAGCACTCTGAAGCAACAAGCTTTAGACAGATCAAAGTCATAAGAAAGGAGAAGTCCAAGTTATAAGGGAAGCTCCAGTTCAATGTCCATCCTGGGGTGTCAGCTGGGGGTTCTGGGGGTGAGACCAAGTCTCCCCCACAGCCCTTAGGGCTGGTCTTACTCCTGTTTGACTCAGGTTGAATGTTGACCCCACCCCTAGCCTTTTTAGCCCAATCTTATCAACACAGGGATGACATGAAACAGATAAAAAGGTAATGCTCCACCCAAAGAGTATTTACTCCTTCCAAATGACATCATTCTTCTCTCTAAAGTTTTAAGCAGTCTCTCCCCAAGTAACCGAAGACCTAGGGCAAGAGAGGAAATATAGCTCCACATATCCTAAGGCTGACTATGTGCAAATTATAAGTCAAGCTAAAAACTCTTAGATAAAATATGTTCTATCTTGTCACCTTGACAAATAGACCTTCATGCCCCTAGGAGGTCAGGTCTGAGTTTCTAATTTGTGATAGTTTGGAGTATTGCCACAGACCTGGTGGCCCAGGGAGGTGGTCTGTGGGCCCCTCTCTTCCACCTCCAGCTCTGTCCTGCACAGTGAAGGATCGCCCACACAAAGGTGTACACCCCTGAGCTCATACACCTGAGCTCAGTCCACACTCTCTAAACACCACTCCAGACACCTGCGATGCCCTTGGGGCTGTGAGGTCTGCTCTTGGAGAAATGTGGGGACAAGTTTTCCCCGGTCCTGGAGGAGCTTTCTGAACTGTTAGGGTGGGAAATCCTAGGGATCCCTGAAGATGGTGCACACTCTGGACAAGCTCACAGCCTTGGCCCTGACCATTCTCACCCTGCGAGAGGCGGCACACCTGGGGGAGGGCCAGAGGTAGGCAGGTCTCAGGTAGCCTAAAGAGTACTTGGAAATGAGAATAAAACCTCTGCAAAAAATCATACTTTAAAAAAGCTGCAGCTTTGCAACTAGCCCCAGACTCGGAGGAAAAAAAAAAAAAAAAAAGACGAAGAAGGGTATTTCTTATTTGAATTTAACTACTTCTAAAAGCCTCTGGTCAACTTTTCTTCTTGTTCTCCAAGGTAAGATTATTTTCCCCTTTGGCATTAAAGTTGTGTGAAAAAACAAAAATGATGTATTTTATCAACTTCAAACTTGTCCCGGGGCTTTCTCCCACACTGTGTTAAATAATAGAAGACTTTTTAATTGAATTTCTTTGTGTGTAGCATATGCTGGGTGACATTATGCCAGCATCTTGCTCTAAGCAGCAAAACGTTCTCCATAAAAGCATTAAGATCCAGAGTGTCATTCCGCATGGAGGGAGGGAACGCAGAACTGCAACAGCTTGAAACCACATAAAAACAGTGCCTCTGAAATGTAATTGTAAAAACACATTGAAACAAAGTGGGGGGGGATGATACTCAGAATTAGAGAATAAAATTTAAAAAAAAAAAGAGGAGGAAGGAAGGTGGGAGCAAGAGAGGGTACAAAAGGAGGAGAGGAAACCCTGTGGCACAACTCTGTCTATAATATCAAAGCAATAACATTTTCAGCATCCTGGCATTCCATCTGCAGGCTAATCTATATGTTCATTTCCCCTTGACAGCCACTATTCTTTAGCGGTGGGATTATAAATGGATGTGTTGTGGACCGAAGCAGTAACGATGTCTGCACTGACACATGGCTGTGTTCTTTACCCCAAGGATCCTGGAGCTTCAGCAGAATGGTGACATGGACATCCTGAAGCACAAATGGTGGCCAAAGAATGGCCAGTGTGACCTGTACTCCTCAGTGGACACAAAGCAGAAAGGAGGTGCCCTGGACATAAAGAGCTTTGCAGGAGTCTTTTGTATCCTGGCGGCTGGAATTGTCCTCTCCTGCTTTATAGCCATGCTGGAGACGTGGTGGAACAAGAGGAAAGGCTCCCGGGTCCCATCGAAAGAGGTACTTGATTGAGAGTTCTGGCGCTCAGTTGAGCCAATAAGTGGGTGGTCTTTCCAGGGAGGGTAATCAGCAGGAAGAGGATAATGGGCTGGGGGTGGTCCTTGTTTCTTCTTTCTTGGAATATTGAAAATGAATTATTGATGAAATATAAAAATCGGTAATGCCAATACCAATGACCATTTTAAGACATCCCAGATATGTGAAGCAGAGACTGCAGTTCTTGAAAAGACTGATCGTTTCATGTGCCATCAAGGGCTTTAAAATTCTGCCAGATCTCAGGGTAGACTTTCATTCAGTGATTTTCTTAAAGGCTGTGATTCCCTTGACCAGTTCACAAAGATGCTTGTCATCTTATTTCAATAAGTTGTTTAACTTATAGGTAAATTATTTGTATCTCTAAGATTCAGCCGAAGAAATACAATGCTGTAGGAAAATAATCAGAATTTGTCTCTTCACCACGAGTGGCTCCTTCCCTCTATCAGTATGTGGACCTATAGAAGGGATCATATGTTTTTAGCTCTTTGATGGCTCTAAGCTTAATGAATCCAAAGTGTGGAATCATCTAGAATTAAATTTTTAATAAAATAAAATAAAATTTTTTTCAGAGATCTGAAAGAATAATTGCAGAGTTACACATAATATCTCTTTGAAAGTGGCATGTGCCTTGTTTTCATCAAAAATTATGGAATTTACAAATCGGTAGAGAAAATGTGAAGTTAAAATAAATTACTTGATTAATTTATCATATTTCTACTGGACCAAAAGGTGAAAATTTTTTAAATGATGAAATCATATTCATTCACTAAAGCTTCACAAAATGAAATGGAAAACGACCTGAATTTGCTACATGATTTGATCTGCTAGATAGTTTCAAAGGACAGTTTTTTAAACTTTCTGTAACTAGACTTTGGCTAACTGATGGTTAGAGCAAATCCTGAGAAGATCTGCTTTAATGCACAAATAAAAATGACTTCTCAATGTTCATATGAATTTTTACATGTTAATATATTCTTTCAAACAGATCTCTTTCTAAAATGATCTGAGAATTCCTTTCTACCGCCTTATATACAAAATTGATCAGCAGCATTTATAAGGAAAAGCTTGGCTTACCAAAGATAAAACTTAGCTTCCTACCTATCTGAATGATCATACATTCTAAATTAGTGGAGTATGAACTAAAAATTAAGCAGGGTTCACTGTAGTGTTTTCTTTATGGAATAAGCTTCTGGCTTTTCTATTGACATTGATTCAATGCAAAAGACCACATTAATGCAACATTATAGCTGAGATTTCATATTCTTAAAAATCTGGAAATTAAGGGACTCCCCAAGCTCCTTATATTTTGAATTACTATATATGATATTAAATTTTTGCATTATTATATCTGTTGATGGATGACTACATTATAGTTGCTGTGGGAACCATAAAATTACATCTCTCAACCCTCTAAAGTCTCAGTGATAATATTGTATTAATGGATATTTTTTATTGGATTTTGAAATGAAAAAGGAAAAGGAAAAACAGTGATGCACATCAAAATATTTTTCACTGAGGAGCACTACAATAGCACAATGAAAAAAATACATACTCCATTCTAACTCATGACAGCTAATTCAGATCTATGAACAAATATTTTCTCTCCTTATGATTAATGGGTATTTTTAAATCCTCATGAATTTAATTTATTGAACTTGGCTATAAATATGACTGATAAGAGACAATTTTTTTTCTTGCCCGTTTTATTTTTCAAACGTTGGGCTTTAATGCTCACTTTAAGTGAAAATCCTGAAGGATTTATGAATAGGTTTCAGCACCAAAAATCTGAGATTTTCCTTCCTTTTCCTTTATTAAGTACCTTCTTACTAAGACTCCATTAGCATAGCTCAAAGCATCTTTGATTGAGAGGTCATTTAGCATAAACCTGGCCCTAAACCAAAGTTGTCATTCGCAGGTCATGACTTGAAGGGGTCTCTAAAGGTCTTGCTGACCTCACAGTATTGCCTCATTCAGGTACTAAATAGCTTGAGTGTATGACATCCCTCAATTAGAAATGGATTCTCTTGTGTTGAATGTTGCTCTTTCTGAATAATCTCACATCTCTCTGGCCTGAAGAGAAATAACACTTTAACAGTCACTAACACTTTAGTGTGAACTAGCATATCGTATCACTTATCTCCAAGAATGGAAAGTTAAGGTTAGGAGGGAATAGGAGAAAAGAACAGAAGTCCAACTTGGAAGGAGACGCCCTGCAAAAGGAGAAAGCACGTGGAAAGAAGAGGTGTGGAGAGGGACTGAGTTGTTAAAACCGTATTTTTTTATTTGTACAGCTTTGCCTGGGTCTGTCTCTGATCTCATAGAAGGCAATCGCCCATCTACTGCTCCCCTACTTTTGTAGTTGCATGTGACATATATAGAACTTTTAGTGCAAGAAAATTATTTATTATAGATAACCTTATCTCAGAGTCATATTTGTACCCCCAGATCCTAGCGCAATACCTGGCTCATATTAGGTGCTCAATAGGTATTTGTTAAATGAATAAACCCCAAAGTTCAGTTAATTACATATCATGTTTGCTGAACTACTTTTTTTTTTTTAACCATGGAAGCTAGTACTGATGAGAACCTTATCTTCTTTTTCTTCATCTCCAGGATGACAAGGAAATTGACCTGGAGCACCTCCATAGACGTGTAAATAGCTTGTGCACTGATGACGACAGCCCCCATAAACAGTTTTCCACCTCGTCAATTGACTTGACCCCTCTGGACATTGACACTTTGCCAACACGACAAGCACTGGAGCAAATCAGTGATTTCAGGAACACTCATATCACCACAACAACCTTTATCCCAGAGCAGATCCAGACTCTTAGCCGCACACTGTCAGCTAAAGCTGCCTCTGGTTTCGCTTTTGGCAACGTGCCTGAGCACCGAACTGGCCCTTTTAGGCACAGGGCACCTAATGGGGGCTTTTTCAGGAGTCCTATAAAAACAATGTCATCTATTCCTTATCAACCAACTCCTACCCTGGGGCTCAATCTGGGTAATGATCCAGACCGAGGCACCTCCATATGAGCATCCAACAAAATCTCTTCACTGTTTCTTTTGTAGGACTCCCTTTGCAAGGAGCAACTGTAAAATTGTGGGACTAACATGGATGTAACACTTAAAAAAAAAAAATCAGGATTATTAGTAACAATTATAGTTCTTTCTCTCCACCTTCTCCCTCTTCTCTCTCTTCTATTTCTTTCTCTTCCTCTCTTTCTGTACATTTCCCTCCACTTTTTTTCATTATTCAACTTGTTCCCCCAGAATATAGTATACTAGGATCCTATTAGTCCGCTTTTCATATACTGTACTTCAAGTATAGGAAATGTGCACTGAGTATACTAAAAGTATATGCAGGATTAATTTTACATAAAGGCCTCTTACGTAACATTTCTCTATTTTTAAAAATATAATTGCAATAACTTCAGTCTTTTTACATTCTTCTGCTGCATCCATACAACGCTCCACTGTTGTTGAGTGTCCTTTAACTGTGGACCAAAGGCAACCCCTGCAGTGTTTATAAAATAATTTAAAGACCATTCAGGCCACATAATATGAGAATGCAATTTTGTAGGATTACAAAAAAGCCATTAATATGCCAGTCAAGACTACAGTTAAAACTACTCTCGCACTGCAACAGTGCATATGACCTTTATGTGATTGTACAGTATTAAAAGTTTTTTCTTATGTACAGTAAACTTTATCATATGGCAGAAGCCTCTATTGTGTTAAATAAATTAGTATCTCATCTATATATACATATATATGCACCTATATAATGTGTATATATATTAAAGGGCGGCCATTGCTATTGCAATTCATTTAATAAAGCTTTAGTTTTAAAAAAAAAAAAAGCATTGTATACAGGAACTATGTATAGTGCAGGGGGTCTTTTCAGTTAGAAAAGGCAGGTTGCTTTAATGTTCTTCTGACTCGTATTGTTTGCGAACAGAGAATATTTTATACTTTTGTTATTAAAACATCCAGGGCGATTTAATATTTGTTCCTAGATGTAACTCCTTTGAGTAGGTTTTGCATTTGTTACTCAGCAGTGTATAAAGCTAACCTTGATAATTTTACTTTTCATGAATTATCTAAATGGAAAATGCTATTAGCAGGACCACGTGCACAGCAGCACATAGAGCTCTAGAAGAGTTGAAACGTAGATCATTGAAGGTTAATAAATTCTCTTCCAAAGCAGAAAGCCAATCGATACAACTGTAGTTGGGGAGAGGTGGGAGCCCTTATGAAATATTGATGTGGCCTTAATTACTGTCCTACATTATCCTAAAGAAGAAAATATAATGACCATACTGGGCTCTCGACTTAACCCCCCCTCCACCTTTTTATTTAGTTCTATTTGGAGGAGTTATGTATTTTTTACATTAGTGCCAAGTGTATAGGAGGATGACAGCAAAAACAGTGCCTCTTCGTGCACGATCCTTTTAAAGTAGCATTCTTACCTGTTAGAAATAGAGAATGAACTCTGTTTGTAATCCTTAAATCAAAATGTGGTAAGTAGGAAGCAAGAACTTATCCTGTGTTTTTACGCAGCCATACACTTATTTTAATCTAATTCATTCCGTAGCTAGGATTGATATAGGAATCAACCTATGTGATTTGCTTTAGGAGAAATTAAAAGGTATATTCTTAAGGTATATTATATTTTGATGCTAATTCTGTTCTGGGGAGCATCTTGTACTGTCACTGTTTTTGTACTAAATCTTCAAATATTGTCTACTGTGTAAGGCAGAAAATTTTCTTATCATGCAAAAACCATTTTGTTTCCAGGGTAACAAGTACCTAAGTGCATGCACGACTTGTTTTCCCTTGTAACATTCATGATCTCATTCACAACTCTGATTTAAAAAAAAAAAAAAATTCTTTACAACAAGCTATATAGGGACGTACCAGATGTTGCAGTGATTTTAGCTATCAACAAACTGTTAACCATGTACAATATTTAAAATAGGCCTATTTTGATGTATTGCCTATTATACAAATACACAAAACACTTTTTGGAGGCCTCAGTTATGAGTCGCAGAGCTTTCTGTGTGTAATTTGTCTAAATAATTTGTCTAATAAAAATGTTTTCTAAACTTGCTCTCATACCATTGAAGTCTTAACTATAAAATTTGACAATGCTTACTCTCTCACAGAATGAACTGAATTTTTCTAAAAATTTATCTTGAGTTAATTAAAGCATGAAACACATGAAGTTTTACTAGCAGAACTATGCCAAAAGGAGCGGCTCTCTAAAAACAATACTGTGTGCGTTTCTTAAACCAATGAAAGACTGCCTTTCTGCTATTTGAAACAATTGGAACCAACAATATATTTGTTTTTCTTCACATATATTTATATTTGTGATGTCTCTGTGAGCACTTTTTTGGGAGAGAGTTATCCTGATTCATGTAAACAATGCAACCATTATAAGAATAGCAGGATGATGGTTTGTTACAAAAAAAGAAAGAAAGGAAGGAAGAAGGAAAAGAAAAAGGAAATTAAGGGTAATTAAACTTAGAATTTATGTATTAATGATTGTTTGCTGTTAGGGAAATACTCATCATGTTGAATCTATTAATTTGAAAATTAATTGACTTCAAGATTATTTCTAATACAGTGTTACTTTCCTCATTTGAACAACAATATTTTTGTCTAGCATTTAACTCACTCAGTGAATATATATCTGAAAACATATTTAATTAGATTAAAATCTTTGCTGCTCTAAAATTCTATTAAAAGTGATTTTTTTTAAATGTTGGAATTATGATGAACTATACAGATCTAGACTTTCTCTCTGGTTTTGCAAATAAGGGAATATAAGATGCTAAGAAGCTGTGACTTGCCGAGATGTTTGACAATCTAACATAACACTTAAAACTGGGTCCTTTTTAATTATTATTATTTAACTCTGCCATGCTTCAGTCATATCCACAGGTCCTCATGGGTTTAAATGCAGGGACGGCTCAGGGACAATGCCTCCACCAGGTCCTCTCCCCAAGCCTAGGCTGCAAATCTCTAGGAACCTTCCCTCCTGTCTGCGGCCAACTAGAGCACCTGAATCAACCGCTCCTTTCACAGATGGGAAGGTGAACACCTCAGGCTACTTCCCCAAGGTCAGAGGGTGAGGCAGACCTCAAGCCAGATCCTGCTTCTCTCTAGGGCTACTTCCTTTAACCCATTGTCTGCTTGGTTCGCACCACTTACACCAACCTTGCTATTTCAAAACCAGACAAATACCTTATATCCATATAATTTTATTCCACTCAGATGTTGAAATCTTTCCTTCGGTGAATCATTAAGAGAACTGGTTGTCACTTTCAACCATGTCAGAACTTAGGCACAGGTTTTGGCTCAGTCATACATTAGAAGATTATAAGACCTCCTTTCTTCCCTCATACATATCAAGCTACATACAGGCAATTTGTTGTTTTCATAATTATGTTATTTTTCATCTCTTTTAATTTGGGATTGGTTGTCAACCGAATAAATACTTTAAAAAGTAGACTTTGCTGAATGGTACTTTGCTTCATCAATTAAAAAGATGAGAAGATCCACAATACCTTTCCAAGCCACACGATTGGATAACAGATTATTAGTATTTTATAATCAGAAATTTGGAGTGGAGAAACACGTTCAGGCCTATTGAGTATAGTAAGTGAGGCAGAACTAAGAATTTCTGTACTGGTAAACACAGGTTTTATGCTTACATGTACATCTCATGATAACTGAAAAATGTAATGGTGTCACTAAAAATTGACTTCCTTCTAGAATGTTTTATTTCTAAAAACAAATCCTATTTCCAATCTTTGTGATCAGATATTAATAAAAGGCTAACAAGTATGGCCATAGTTATCATTTCAACAAATTGTAGTAAATACCCTCTCATGAAGTAGCATATGAGCTCCCTTGGGCGGAAACGACTTACCTAGCATTGAAAAATCAGGAAATAAAGTTTGTTATATTTGATAGACTTAATTCTATTATTTGTTTATTTATTTATTATTTTATTCTATTAGTGTTCGCTCAAAACCTATTTTGTGAAAGCCACTGTGCTAAGCAATTACACACGGCATAGATGAATATGTATGTTTAAAAATGGGTCTGGATGTGTTCTAATGCCCAGTTCTTTCTTTGTCCCACATCACATGCAAGATACAGAGACCACCTTACAGACTTTCTGAGGAAGCAGAATGAGTCTCTCCAAGCCAGTGCAGTCCTCTTTGGCCTTGGCCATTCCAACTCACTGGGGCAAGCCATCCTGGCAGTTCTCGTGGGCTAATAGAATCTATCTGCTTAGATTCAGATCACCTCCACAAAGAAGACTTGGAGATTTCCCAAGATGCCAGACCATGAGGTCAACTTTTCAGAAATGTGAAAATTCCCATAAGCTACAGGCAAACTATTAACTAGCCCCTCCTCCTTATCAATACCTGCATACCAATCAGAGACTGACTCCTACCCTCAGATGTCCATGTCAGGATGATACAGACCACAGTAACTCATTTTCTGTTCCTGCAGGTCTAATCACTTGTGATAGAGCCCCTCAGTGTTTAAATTTGCTTCACAGGGATTACACAGTGAATCCTTTTCAGGCTACTTTTCAACATTTATCAACTTTCATTTATATTGCAACTAAGATCCCTAGCCACCTTTCCTGTCATCTAAGATACAGTGTGACCTATGAGCCTGAGGAATATATAGCAGGGTTTTACAGGAAGCCAAATCAGGACAACAGCCTCCAACCCACACACAATTCCAGAAGAGTAGAAACCTCCTGGTTTTGCTCCATGTGTAGAGCTCCACAGAGGCACAGAACAATTACACCACATAAAGATTCACCCTCCCATGGGGTTAGGAACAGACTAAAGGAGAAGTCGCTTGTTTTCTCACCTGAATTTCCCAAATTTCCCTTGTTTCAATCATTCTCATTTGTTTTATTCCCATGTAATCTTAGTAATAAAGCAAAAATCGTTCAAATTTCAGTAATACATTTTCATTATCTAAAAGCTTTCCTATACTTGTTATTACATACAAGATAGGACCAAGTGTCACCTCTTGACTAATTTTGCACATTTCCTAGAGTTTCCTCAGAGTGGGAGGGAGAAAAAAACTGTGCGTTTTAGACACGTCATTACCTGTGTCATGCTGTAGGCCTGGCTGTCTGGCCTTTGGGAGGAATGGAGGC